CGCCGCCCCCGGGGGGGGGGGGGGGGGGGGGGGGGGGGGGGGGTACGGTCACGTCTTGCAAGTCATCTTTTTTTTGTTTGTTTTGTTTTGAGAGGGGGGGAGGCTTGTGATAATATCACACCAATTCTTGCTTAAACAGTGTCCTTTGATCTGTTGATCCACTTGGAAGAGTTCAAAACAACATTGATTTTTCTTTTGATTGCTCCTTGTACAGTTTATGTTGTTCAGGCTCTGTTTGTTTATGGGGTATTGCATGTGTTTTACTCCAATCATATATTTAAGTATTTGGTTAATCAACACATGCTAAAGTTGTCCCAAACTCTCTCTTGAAACCTTGGTTAAGAAAAGCTACCATTTGTAGCTTTTTTAAAACTTACTTTTTTAAACCGAAACCATAAAAGCTATCACAATACTAAACACATATTTTTCTAGGCAAGTGCTTAATTTTAGCTAAACTTAAAACAAGAACTCATTAACATTCTTAAATGTAACCCCTGCAAAACTTTTGTTTAGATCTTCAAACTTAAATTCATTTGATTGAAATAATTAATGAATCAAAATGAGCATATGCAAAAGAATAGGCAAGTTGGATTGTTGTTCCCATGTAAACCAGTTGTGGAAATGAACTTGGTAGACTAGTAGTTGTGTTTGGCCACCATTTCTTTCTTTTTGCAATCTGCTTGCTTTTATTCTTTCTTATAGGAACCAATATATATCATGTACTTTGTGCAGATGGTGCTTCGATGTTGAGTTGGTTTTCCTATGCAAATGGTTTGGTATCCCTGTGAGTGAGATTTCTGTGAACTGGACTGAAATCCCAGGATCCAAGGTGAACCCATTAAGCATTCCCAACATGCTCTGGGAGCTAGCGCTCATGTCCATGGGATATAGGACTAGAATGTGGAAAATTTGCAGCTGAGACATTTCATTTGGAGTTTATTTATGAGAACTGTTGCGATCTTCCTGGCATTTCTGCTCTCGGAGTTATTCTGACACTTGATTAGGCAACGTTAGGGCATGCAGACTACGGAATACACCATTACAATGAACGCCATTTCGAACCCTGCGGTTTCTGCTGGCAGTACTGTTTGAGGAGCACATTTTTCGATTCGTCTTCCTTTCACTTGATTTTTGTTTCATAATTTGGAATCATATTTACAGAGCATGTGGTCAAATTATGCAGCTCATTGGTATAACAATGGAGGGATGTCAGTGCGGACTCCTTTCATTTGAATTCTACGATAGAAAATTTAAAATACCATCCACCATTACTTTTTCCGCAGATTGTAGTGACTTGAGGCCTCCTATTCTCCTCGCTGCTCTTGGTCCACGGATGAGATTTTTAATCTGTGTTCTTGGGTCCTATGATCCAGTGTACTATTGCGAGCGCATCTTACATTCAGACGAATCTTGACAGTGAAACACAACGGCGTCCTTATTGGACACCAGACCATTACGTTTCTGTTCTCTTTATGTTGCTCCATGGAAAAGCTCTCAAAGAGGGATTTCAACCAAATAGACAATGTCTTTAAGATTTTGAGGGTTAAAAAAAAAAACGCAACATCAACCTTGGAGCCTAACCGGCACCCTCCATTGTTCTTAAGGCTCATAATAACTGGGCTGGACCATGTGAGAAATTTATTTGAAAGAATAGGTAAAGTATATAGGCGTGGCTCCGACATCTAATTTCAAGTCTGAAAGTGGATTATTCGTTAAGCCCGTATGTTTTTACAAAAAAGTTGATTTTTTTTTGTTTTAGATTTTTTTAAATTTTTTTGATTTGTTCATATTAAAAATAAATTTTTTTAAAATAAAAATATATATATTATTTTAATATATTTTTAAATAAATAATATTTTTAAAAATAATTATTACCATAATATCAAACAACAAGTCTTGGCAAAATTCTCAGGCAAGGCGACGCAAATGAAAGGAATTCTATAATAATAATAAATAAATAAATAAATAAAAACTGACGATTAAGATGGTTGCGTTGCGGGCTGAACAACCAAGATGGCTCGCCGGCGGTTGGTTTTAGAGACTGACGATTAACAAATGATCTAGGGAACGGGGTTAGATCTATCTTTTCCATGTAAGAAAAACATGAGAACATGCTAGTTTGACAATATACACGTATCCTTTAATGGCTTGGTATATTTTGCTGCCAAATTGCCGCCTAACATGTAGCCGGTGGAGATTGAACCATGAGCAGTCCAAGCCTGGTGTCAGTTGAAGGTGGTCTGGGTTGCCTAAGTTTTTCAGTCTTCACGTGAAGGACTGGGATGGAACCCACATCGTTACTCCCAGTCCAACCACAGGTTCACCACCAAAAATTAATTATTATAAGTAAATCTAAAAAGTGCGGGAATTTACTTTGCAAAAAATGGTGTGGACTTATAAAATAATATCAACGCAATGTTTTTCTTTTTATTTTATCTTTTCTTCTTCTTGTCTTTTTTTAAGCTTTTGTCGAATTAAATTGTAGATCAATCTAGGCTAATTTGTTAGAGAAGGAGGAGATTAAAAAATAAAAGATCAAAGTAAAAAGAATTGAGAAAATAGGTGATGCTTTTAGATTTTCGGGTGAAATATTAATGCTGCCCTTAAAATATTTTTATTGGGAGTAATTTAGTAATTATATAATGATTCATTTGGCATTTAGAATTTAGAATTTAAAAGATCATTTATGTTTTTTCATTTTATAATTCACAGTGAAAAGCCCCTTATACCCTTGAATTTATTTTTTAAAAGTTTACTTTCATAGGTGTTTCTATCTTCTTTATTTTTATTAAACAATTAAATGACTCCCATGTCATTGAGAGGATTTTCCATGCTTTACATTCAAGGATATTTTTATATTTTCACTCAAATATTTAATAATTATAGGTTTGGGTTAGGAGTAATTATATGATTTAATATATATAAATTATTAAAAGAAAATTCCAACATGTGTATTTAGCGTGTGGATAATACATTCGAGTTATCTGGTAGTTAAACGTTACCTTTTACAATAATATTTGAATTGCTTTAGTGTTACCTCTTTAAAGAGGTGATATGTATAGATAGAGGTGATATGTGTAGATAAAGGCCGCAAGGTTTGGCTCTTGTAATATTTTTTTTTCTTTTCAGATTTTGTCTTGATTTTTTTTTTCCTTACCTCTTTTGTAAACTTTTAATTGTTTTTAATTTTATTTTTTCATAAAAAATTTAATTTATTATTGTTTTTAAATTTAATCCTTGTTCTCTTGGTAGTTTTTTTTTAATTCTTTTGTAAAATTGATTTTTTCTTTAATTTAGCCCTTCAATACAAAATTATTCATCCTCTTTGTTTTTTTCTTAAATCTAATCCTTATTACTTTAATTATTATTTTTTTAATTTCTTTTTAATTAATTTTTTTTTCTCGTGACATATCACTAGTGATATGCCTGTAATTTTTAATCTCTTGAATCCTGATATTTGAGTAGATTGTTTACGACCTAATCCAAAATCAATCGTGGCTATCAACAAAACTTTATGCCAAAACTATGTATATAATAAACACATTTCCTTATACGTCGACCTGATCAAGTTCTAGAGGGACAAATGAGAAGACAGCAAAGATGTTCAATGACCAAATTTACCACACAGTTTCCACGATAGTGGTATAATGCTGGCCTGTTGAAACTTGAAATCTTTCGCTGACTTCTATCCTTTTACCTTTAAATATTCACTTACATGTCTTTCCCCTCTCATTACATACGCAGACATGCACTTTTGAAGAGTAGTTGGTGTTTGTTGCTGCTAATGGAGTAGTTGCATGTATTACGTACGCTACTGAGAATTCCGAGAGAAAACAAAGTGAAATATTCTTCTCTAGTCAAAGAACATGGCTATGCTTCTAAACAAAAACAGCAAGATGGGCAGCCCTCTTCTCCATGAATTCAAGAGGCAAGCTTCTTTCTTCTTCAAAGAGAAAATCAAAACTGCTCGTTTGGCACTAACTGATGTTACACCAACAGAACTGTAAGTTAATACTCCTCGTTTTTTGTTAGTTTATATGATTTCGTACACCAACAGAACTGTAAGTTAACACTCCTTCTCGTTTTTTGTTAGTTTATATGATTTCGATGCCATACAATTATTAATCAACCCTTTTCCTCGTTGATTCAAACTGTTCTAAGGTTGACAGAAGAGATCATAAATGGAGATCTTTGGGCTCCAGATACACGTGCTATGGGTGTTATTTCACGGGCTGCTTTTGAAGTTGATGATTACTGGAGAATTGTGGAAATTCTACACAAGAGGTTTATATTTGCATATTGGGATTAGATTAATCTATTTGTCCTCTATGAAACTTAGAGATTATACTGAAGGATCTATGTTTCTTCTTCGTTTCCAATTCAGGTTGATAAAATTTGATAGGAAAAACTGGAGAGTCTTTTACAAGACTCTGCTTCTATTGGAACACCTGCTAACCCATGGACCTCTACGGGTTGCTGATGAGTTTCAGTGTGATAAAGATGCCATTAAGGAGATGTCTAGCTTTCAGTTTGTCGATGAGAAAGGGTCGGTAGAGCGGCTAATTGACAAATTAATTGATATACAATTTTAAGGGCTGTAACCTCCGATTATTATACTTTTTTGGTTTCGTTTGCAGATTCAACTGGGGATCAAGTGTTAGAAAACTATCCGAGAGAATCCTGGAGCTTCTTGAAAATGAACAGTTTCTCAAAGAAGAGAGGGCAAGCGCTCGTAAGTTAACACGAGAGATTCAAGGGTTTGGTAGCTTCTCCCAACGATCCTCTTCAGCTGAGGAAAACTTAAAAGCATTAGGCTTCAGGACACGTTTGAGGTGTAACTCTATCTATAACCATCAACACAATCAAGAAAAAGATGACGAGTTTATGGACTCAAAGGGGAAGCTTTTGCACGAGGAAAGAATCCAAATCCATGAGTATACCAGCCATCCAGCACTTGGAAACCAGGAGAATATTAGCAGAGAGGAATATACCGCAGAAGATCATCCATTCTGCGACGACCATCATCATACAACAGTACCCCTACTTTCTGATGCAGAATGAACTTTCCAAACTGTTTTTTTTCTCCTACTGGTTTGAGAGGACGTGAAGAAATTAGAGAATGTGGAGATATGTGAAATAGGCCAAGTTTGTGTGTTCATATAAATGAGAGTTCTTATAAACGGACAGCATATTCAGCAAACCATACAATGTCTTCTAAGATTCAAAAGTTTGTTCGCATCTTTACTGTGAAATCCAGACACACTTGTATTGTATTAAGAAAAAAGAAATATTCATTGTTTTTCAGTCTGTTTCTCCTCAGCAGAAGCACTTTCCACTGGAGGCAGCGTCTACAAACAGAAGAATTAAAAGAGTCGGTGAGTTAGACATTTTATCGAACACTGTGAGCAGAGGGAAATTTCGGAGATATAGAGGGAAAGAGGGATGGGAGTTGTTGCAAGGCTGGGTTTGTACATGTTGTGGACAACTGACAAAGACAGCAACGCATGACCTCCCAAGTGAAGGAGTGCCCGTTGTTTGCTTTCCTGCCGCGAATTTTTTATTCATTTCTGGATTTCAGAAAACTATCAACGGGTTCTGCTACTGCAATCTGCAGGTTCTAACTTTTTTGATTAAGTCCTAATAATTCAATAAAGAAGATGGATCATCGTTTGGGCCGATACCTGGACTTGAGGATGATTGGGTTGTGGCCCAAGATTCGGTCAGAATTTCCTCCCCAAGTTTTGTCCCCCACATGTCCAAATCTAAACTGAAAACTCCATTCCGAAAGTGACCGAATTCACTTTCTAAAAAGAAATAACTTTTCTATAAACAAACGGCCTAAACTGAAAACTCCATTCCGAAAGTGAAGACTTACTGAAAGTGGTGTTGATCTGGCATGCAGTAATTGACATCAAGATCACTAAAGCAAACCCCTTCTATAACCTTAGGGATTTGTGGCCGGCGGTAGCATCGGTTACAAGTTAGGACTTTACCCCTCTTATCCCATTAGGGCTTAGAAAGTGACTGGCAAATAAGGTGCAGAAACAGCCCATGATTTTTAATTCGATATCCTTTTCCAACATGAAATATCTAGATCAGCCTTTAATTGCCATCTTTCAATATTTTTTAGCATTTTTTGAGACCCGGCCATTGAGACTGCTTTGATGCCAGGCTTTAAATCATATTCAGTCCCATGTTCCTTGGACTTCACATGCAATATTGTTGTTGTAAATGACTCCTCAAATAACCCAAGCAAATTAAGCAAGGACGTCCCCCATAACCATAAACAAAACTAAGGGCTTTAGGGTGGTGGTGCAAAAGAAAACATTTGAACAGTCAAAACATCTCGGGATATTAATAATGAAAGAATTGGACCCTTCTGGCAATCAACTCCTCGCCTTCTCAAAACCATCACTCCAACATTAGAATAAACATAGATGGATAGCAAAGCTACAGTGAAAAGGGTGCAAGCTGCACCACTTCTTTCCGAGAAATATAGCAATTTTTTTTTTCTTTTTTCTTCGATAATACCACCCTCGAAGCATTTAGAAGCACTTCCGATGCACAATTGATGGCCCTGACTCGTCATACTCTGCCTTTGCAATCCACATCTGCACTCGGAGAAACAAGCAAGAAAGCAATCCAATCAGAAACCAATGTTAAGAGTAAGCTTTCTATCAAGAACCATGCATGTACTTGGATTTTCACTAACCTGCTGGAAGGTGCTAAGAGATGCCAAGATTGAACCACCAATCCAGACACTGTATTTCCTTTCTGGTGGTGCACCCACCTTGATTTTCATGCTGCTTGGGGCTAGCGCAGAGATTTCCTTGCTCATTCTGTCAGCAATTCCTGGGAACATAGTGGAACCACCACTGAGGACAATGTTACCATACAAGTCTTTCCTGATATCAACATCACACTTCATGATGGAGTTGTATGTGGTCTCGTGAATGCCTGCTGCTTCCATTCCAATCATTGATGGTTGGAAGAGGACCTCTGGGCAACGGAAACGTTCAGCACCAATGGTGATGACCTGCCCATCAGGCAATTCATAGCTCTTTTCAACTGCTGAGCTGGTCTTGGAGGTCTCTAGCTCCTGCTCGTAGTCAAGAGCAATGTAAGCTAGCTTTTCCTTCATGTCCCTTACAATTTCCCGTTCTGCTGTCGTTGTGAAAGAATAACCACGCTCAGTGAGGATCTTCATCAAGGAATCAGTGAGGTCACGGCCAGCCAAGTCAAGACGAAGGATGGCATGTGGAAGGGCATACCCCTCATATATGGGGACTGTATGGCTGACACCATCACCAGAGTCCAGCACAATACCTGCACAGCAAATACAAGACCAGTAAATAGGGTATCCTGGAACAAAAGGACATGCCTTCAAAGAAGGCAGGGGACTGACAAGCTCAAGATTTTCAAAAAGAAATTGAACAAGACAATAAAAATAATTGGAAAACATCAAACACATCTAAGCCAAAAACAAAGGTAAAGGAGACAACTGCAATGAGAAAACTCTAAATAAATCTAAACAGATGGAACACCTACTCCCAGAATCAACCTAAACAACAGAGTCATATTTAGTCCTCTCCGAAATAATCTGTATTGGCACATAAAATATTAATAATTAAACACAAGACTAGTTGACGTTTACAATTTAAACCCTCTGAATATTACCGAAATCATTTAACCACTTACCAGTTGTACGACCACTTGCATACAAGGAAAGGACAGCCTGAATGGCAACATACATAGCAGGAGTGTTGAAGGTCTCAAACATGATCTGTGTCATCTTCTCACGATTAGCCTTGGGGTTCAGAGGAGCCTCAGTTAGGAGCACTGGATGCTCTTCTGGGGCAACACGAAGCTCGTTGTAGAAGGTATGATGCCATATCTTTTCCATATCATCCCAGTTGCTCACAATACCATGCTCAATTGGGTATTTCAAAGTTAAGATACCTCTCTTGGACTGAGCCTCATCACCAACATATGCATCTTTCTGGCCCATGCCGACCATCACACCAGTGTGACGAGGACGACCAACAATACTAGGAAAGACAGCTCTTGGAGCATCATCTCCAGCAAATCCAGCCTAAAAGCAAATATTGCAATCAGTTCTCCCCAAAACAATACATAAACAATAAACAAATTTAGAAAATTGAATCTGTTTAAAGCAGTTTCTAGAAAGAAGATTTCTTCTTTACAACATGATAAGCTCTAAATACATTTGCAAGCAATTTAGGAAAGGAACTTCCTATCCAAAGCAAGTGACACTGGAAATAATTTTGCTGAAATTTTCAACTTCATGCGTATTTCTATAAGAAGATCAGACCAATGTTATTCTTTCTACAAACACAATAAAGTCGAAGGGCATACCTTGACCATTCCAGTTCCATTGTCGCAAACGAGTGGCTGAATATCCTCTGCGTCTGCCATCTTCTACTGCCAGTAATACCAAACGGTGACAATCAACAAAAAAGGAATAAATTTCTTTTATCAAGCAAAGCAAAAACATCAAAATCATCTCCTAACTAGCCATGCATTAATGCAAAAGAGAGTAAAAAATAAGATATTGAAAAAAAAAAAGAACACAAACAAGCAAATGAGTTTTTTCGCCTTCATCAGTTAAAAAACAAACAGCAACATTGCAAATCAATGTATCACATCTATAGATCCCATGTCTTATTACACAAACACCTAAATCTGCAAATCTAACTACTGAACATTGGCAAAAAAAAAGAAAGTGCAGTGGCAAACCAACCGTCGTGTTTCTGTGTCTTGAAAACGGAAAAGAAATCGATTGGGAAAAATAAAGTGAACAAATATATCGCATCAAAATCAAAATGCATAAAAAAGACTTAAGAGAATAGGCAAGTAAATCTCAGATATTATTTGAGAATAATGTTAAATCACATTTTTAAAGCAATTGCAAACGAAATCTAAAGACACAGACATAAAGAAAAGTGAGCATTTAGACTCCATTTCCAACATTGTAATTACAGTAAAATTTACGGTCTTCACTGTTAATTTCCCAATTTTCCTTCAGATTTTAAACAAAATAAGCCGGGAATAATAATAAACCCGATCCAAACATGGGATTAAGAAGAAACCAAAATGCAGATAAAAAAATGATATGCGAGCATGAATCGCACATTACAAGATACTAAAAAGCAGAATGCAGGATCAAAAGGAGATCAGATCCAGACTGCTATACAGCAGATCGAGAAGATAGAAGAGAGATTGATTGAAAAAGAAAAGGACTGACCTTGTTATAGGAGGAGGGATTTTGAGAGAGTGAGCGAGGCGACGACACACAAAAACAAAACTAAAATGTTTTTTTTTTTTTTTCAAGCTTTTAGAAAGAGAAAGGAAGAAGCTCAATATATGGAACGCGAGATGAGTTGTGGGCCGTTGGATTCTTTTATTTTTATTTTGTGGGCACAACTTACAGAGAGGAACGCGTCATGCGCTCTTCTTTTTTTCATATTTCCTATCAATCTGGGGTCATTATTTCTTGCTGGATCCAGCCAGCTCCTTCCGGTTTTCCAGTCATTTCCCTCTTCTTCTCCTTCCCGTCTTCTCTATTTTACCCCTCCTCTTGTTTCCCTTCTTACAAATCTTACCTGTACGTAGCGTTCTTGCTTGGCATGGTGTATTTTTGAAATGTTTTGATTTTTTTAGTTTTAAATTAATTTTTTATTGTTTTAATTTTTAAATATTAAAAATAAATTTTAAAAAATAAAAAATTATTTTTAAATAAATAACACTTTAAAAATAAACTCTACCATACTCTAAACAAATCATAT